TGCTGGGCAGTGAACTCCTTGAGAACTGGACCTCTTTCAGACTTATCTTTTACCCCCAGGGCCTATGCTAGTTTCTGGCACAATGAAACAACCAAAAACCACAAACTGCAGGAACGAATGCCCGAATGGTACTCGGCAAAGTGGCTTCCTGCTCCCGCATCCTCTTGGCTGCATTTCCTGCCCTAACACCTATCAGGGTTCTCTGCACACGGGTCCGGTCACCTGGGTTTGCTGCTGCTGGTGGAGGCTTGCAGCAGAGGAGACTGCAGGGGGAGGGGTGTGAGGGAGTCCGGGGCCTGTGCAGAGAGCGGCCTGGCAGGCTAATGCAGGGTGAAGGGGTCTCTCAGAGCATCTGTAACTCAGGACAGTTTAACTGGCTACAGAGGCCGCTCTTGTGCTGCCAGAGGCAGGTGAGGAGGCACACTGACCCTTTAAGGCCTTTTGTGGGTCTGGAATGGGGGAGAGGGTGGAGGTCAGGGCCTTCATCAGTTTTAGTGTCAAAATTTGAGGTGGGGGCTGCGAGGTGGTTTTTAGAGTCAAAATTTGAGGTGTGGCGGAGAGGTGGGATGTTCTCCCTAGGGCCCTGCACAGGGGGCGGTCCCTCACCTGGATGACAGCAGTCAGGCACGCTAGTGTCGCCGACACGTGTAGCCTCTCGGCCTCCATGGCTGCTATGTCCACGTAGGTCTCATTGGTGGTATCATTGAAGACCCGGAATTTCGACTCTGGGGCCAGCTGCAGACAGATGTTACCCACCAGGATGCTGATAACGGCAAAGGTACCTGTGGTGCCCCACCCAGTCAGCAAAAGTCAGAGGTCTGGACCACACCCATGGAAATGAGAAAGGGGCCCCAACCCCCAGGGGGCAGCTCCCCGGGTCTCCGACAACCAATCATGTCTCACCAGGACCTACACTTGTCAAGGTGCTTTCACCTCAATGGGTGATAGTATTTCATTGGACACACGGGGGATGAGCCTGGAAATGCAAGCAGAGCCTGATCCAGGAACCAGGCCTGCGACAGGCCCTTTCCTCCATTTCACTTAGCAGTGGAGAACCTCAGATGGCCCTGCAGCGGCCTGCTGGGACTAGCCTAGGAGTCAGACAGAAATTTCTCACATCTCTGTAGCACGTGGTACATTTTGTTCTGCCAAGTCTTCCCCACCTTCCAGGGAGGGAGACAGAACTGGTAATGCTAACTAAGCTCACGGAAGTGAAGTGTTTTCTCTAAGGTCACAGAGGACCTGGGACTGACACTCACAGGGAAGGCGCCTCCAGTTCTGACCAGCACATCTCAGAGAACCCAGAGGAAATCACCTGAACCCCTTCTCTCAGACCACGTGGTCCAGGTCATCCTGCCCTCTGAGAGCGGAGAGGCTTACCTGGCACCATCTGATGGATGCCCCCCAGGAAGAAGTAGGTCAGGAGCGGGAAGAAGGAGGAGTAGAGGCCGTTGACCGCGGGAAGGTTGGCCAGCAGGGCAAACGCCATGCCTGCAGAAGACAGAGACTGGGGGCTAAGGGTGCGGTTGGGCTACCGAGGCCACAGAGGGTTGGGGGAGCAGCAGGCCAGGCCTGGCGGAGGGGATCCCTTCACCTTGTGGGACCTGGATTGAGCCACCACTGAGTCCGCCAAGGAGGTCAGGGACGATGTAGTCTTTGATCTTGTACTTGGGGAGCCAGGAGAGCACAGGCAGCAGCCCGAACACCACAGCTTTGACCTTGGTGGAGGAACATCTGTGGGGGAGATTTCAGTTAGTAGTGCATAGCCTGAACATGCCTGGTTGGGGAGGAATATAATATCTTTCCCTTGGTCCTCCATTCATCCATCCATTCATTCATTTACTCACTCACTCATTCATTCAAAATTCAGCCATACTCACACTCTGTGGTGTACCAGGGATACTGAGAAGAAAAGAAGAAAAAGCAGGGATTCTCTTTTGGGAACTATGGGCATTAACTGGAGGTCTTCTGACTGGCAGCTGAGTATCCAGGAAGTCTCCAAGACTTGACTTAGGCTTGGCTTTTGTTGTGGCTTTGAATTCTGGGGGGGTCAAATCCAGCTCCCATCTTGGTGGCCTTTCTCCTGCCTGACGTGTCACAGGCCTGTGTCCCCTCGTCTGGACTCCTGCAGCTCTTGTGCACCTGTGATCCCTTGCTTCCTACCCTTCTCTCTCCCAGTAGACAGCAGCAAAGGTGAGATGACTGACTCTCATTCACCTTTGCACACCCTGTGCATCGTGCTGGTGTTTAGTGAATATGTATTGAATACATAAATGAACGCACAAGGAACAGGATGGGCTCTCCTGAAACTCAGTCTGAGTGGGGGCTGCTGCCATCTTTTTTACAACTTCCTGCAAAGGCAGGTTGCATCCCTGCAGGTGCCTCTGCCTACGCACCACGTCCGTCGTGCGTCGGCTCCGACACCAGAGATCTTCCCCCTGTTAAGTCATTTTGGGAGGGAAGAATGAGGGAGCTGAGCTGTTCATTGGCCAATCAGGGTGGGGAGAGTTGATCTCTTTTCTGTTTGTTGAACACCTCGAGGTCCTTTCATAGAAACTGAGCAGCAATAGGAACAAGTGTTACCCACACACTCGAGGGTGATAGCCAGTTGGTTGATGACTCGAAAGAGGTGGGAGGCATTTGCTTTTCTTCTCCCAGTTGGGGGAATTCAAATACTCAGGGCCTATCTGGTGATTCACTGGCTGCTCTGATTAGGCCTCCTTTCCCGTCTACTGCCAATCTCTGCTCTTTGCTGTTGCTCAACAACAGTTTCCCTGACACTGGGTCCCCTGGATATCACCCAAGACTGAAAGCAGCATAGCCAATGCTTTGTACCCAGATTTTCTGTTCTAACCAACATCCCGTGGAATGGCATCCCCAGCCTCATCTGACTCCCTGGTCTCCTCTGGGGTGGGTGGAAACCTCTTCCATCCCTGGGATGCTGGGCAGTGAGTGGGGCTGATGGTCAGTGGCTTAAAGCATCTCCAAAGCCTTGTCCTAAGATAGACTCAGCCCTCCAGGAACTCCATCAGCTCAGTCTATAGCAAAGCTGGCCCCATGAATAGAGACCTGGCTAGGGGAAGAAAAACAACTCGCTGAGGGCTTGGACCGGCCCAGTCTTCCTTGCAAGCTTGCCATATGCTGGACAAAGCCATCTGAAGCCTGACAGCGGAGCTGGAGACAGATGCCAGACATCTATCCAGAGGTTCCAGAAGCCAAGAGGGAAGTGAGGAGAGGGATCAGCTTTCTAGATCTATTCATTCATTACACAAATATTTGTTGGAGCACTGTCTGTGTGTCAGGCACTGTTCAAGGCTCTCATGCCGGGCTCATGGGAGTTGTTTGTTCCCTGCAGCACTTTCTAGTTTTCATGACCTAATCTCTTGAGACAACAGCAGACACTCTCATCCCTCCAGCACAGAAACAACCCAGAATTAAACTCCTTGAGCACAAAGGCTGTAGAGCCCACCTGTCCCAGGAGCACTGCTGTGGGGACAGTACCCGGACCCTGGACACTTGTGTCTTACTGTTGCTAGACGGAGATGGAGCCTCCCAGGAGAGGTGGGGCCGGGCTGAGACTTTTAGCAAAGACTCAAGTGGGTGATTCCCCAGCCTGAACCAGTTCCACCTGCATCTCCACTTCAGCCACTGCCAGTGACCTCAATCCAGGTAACTGAATCAGCTGTTTCCCCAGGGGAGTGCGGAAGAGAGAGCCAGCCCACAGCCGGGCCTGAGCAGAGTCTGCCAGAAGACTGGGAAGGGGGAAGATGAAGCTCATGGCCCCAGGCTCCTGGAGTTGGGTCTGGATCACCTTGAGTAGCCCCTTTCCTAGAGGCTGAGCTTCTCTTCCAACTCCAGTCCCAGAGATCTGAGAGGAGAATGAAGGAGTCTGGGGCCCAGTGGGGCCACATGCTGGCCGGGTCCCTTTAGGAGTGTCCAGGAGTTAGGGGCCAGCGGTGAGCACTCCCTGGGCCGGGAGAAGGAAGGCATGTCAGGAGGGAAGAAGGACAAAGGGCATAGTGGTGGTGGCTTCAGAATTTTAAGGAGGGAACAGGACATAGAAGTAGAGGCGCTACTGCTCCCCATTCCCCATGTTGTACTATGTCCATCTAAGCTCCCTCAAGAACCCAAGAGAGATTTGAATGGGCTAAGAATATGGTGAGGCCTCACTCCGGGGATGGGGGTGCCCTGCAACCTTCCAGAAGCTGTGGATGGTCCTTGTTCCTCTTAGCATCTTTGCTGGGGAGTGGCGGGTGGAGCGGGTGTCTCAGAACAGATGAGGTTGTAGGATCTCCCCCCCTAGGGCTTCTCCAAGCCCTGTGTTGGGGACCCTGGTGCAGGGGCCATGCTCTGGCATGGGCAGGGTTTTGGTGGGGAGCAGAGGAAAGAGAGGTCTGGCTCCGGGCCACATTACCTGAAGGCACTGCGAAGTTTCTCTCCCAGTGGGTAGGTCCGGTCCTTCTTCTCAAACTCATCGTCGAAGAGGGTGAGAGAGTATGCAGCTCTGTCTACCACGTAGCGGGGCCTGGGCTGGCTCATGTCTGGGGCATTTACAAGCTTTGGGAGAAGCAGAGCAGGGGAGGCTGAGGGGCATGTCCCTTCCAGTGCCCACGGCGTCCACTGCAGCGCAGCTTTATCCTGGGCCTCCCCGCCCACCCGGCAGGTGCCTCCCTTCCCTCTTTCAAGTCTTTCCACCAGACTCACTTCTTTTGGTGGCCTTCCTTCCCAGGCTCTGATGATGCACGCACTCGCCCTGGCTGTTTTGCTTGGCGCCCAGCACGTGGCTGGCACTCCACACCTGTGACATCACCGTCACCCCCGCCGCACGCCAGGAAAAGGGGAGGTGGGGGACCAAGGTAGGAGTCACAGCCGGGATCCAGCCTGCGCATGCTACTCCCCCACCCCCGCCTCCCGGCCCCGGAGGGGCCCCCACAAGCCTCTCTCCCTCCCTAGACCTTGGTTTCCCTGGCAGAAAGGCTCATACCATTCAGCCAGTCAGCTTGGAAGAGACAGAGAAAGCAGTCTGCCCGGAGGCGGGGATGGCGGAGGCGACCTCGGGAGGACCCTTCTTGACCAAGACGCCTTGGACTTCACCAACACGTGTCCCTGGGGGACACTGGTGTGTTTGGGGAAATCGGGGTGGCGGGCCGCGCTGGCTCTCCCACGGCTTCCTGTGCCTAACCTTTCCCCCACCCTTGTGTACGGCTGTTTCTCTCCTCCTCGCCTTTGCGCAATCTTGCTGACGTTCCAGGAGCCGAGCTGGGACGAGCAGAGTGCCAGGGCCCCTGAGGCCTGCAGGAGCTCCCTGAAGGAAACTTTCACCCTCTCTCCCCCAGCCCCAGCCCCCTCCTCCCTCCCATCCCCCAGAGCTGGGAAAGCCCGCCTGGAGGGCCTGGGGACCAGGAAGAAGAGGAAATGATGGGCAGCCTGGGAGGAGGGTGTATGTCTGGGAGGCGCAGAGTGAGGTGGCCCTGGCCAGTTCGGTAAGATTTGAGATGGGGTTGAAAGTGAGAAACCACATGGGGGGCTAGGGATGCCCCCCAGCTTCCAAGGGGAGACCCCAGGGGATGGGACACTGGGGCAGCTGGCTGGCTTGTGGGAGGGACACGTGGAGAGATGGGTGGTGTGTTTGTGAGGGCTCACTGAGACGCAAACGGTGACAGGGACTCTCAGTGTCCTCGCCAGCAAAATGGGGGTGACATGTCCACCTCATAGCTTTGTTGAGGGGATCAAGGGAGTGAATGGACAAGAAAGGGCTGTGCAAAATGCAAAGAGTAATGCAAAGATCCCTTATTGTTGAGACTGTACATGAGTTGATGAAGGTCAGGCTGGTGCATTCCATTCATTTGGTCTTGGGACCCCTGAGGCCCACCAGGACCTACAGAGGCTGGATGCCTGGGCACTCTGGAATACCCCTCACTGGAAGGCAAGTGAGGATGAGCTTGCCAACAGTGCCATGCCCGGCCCCTTGCCTGGTGCTGAGGAGGGACTCAACAAATGCTTGTTGAGTGAATCAATAAATGGTGTTTTGGAGAAGACCTGGGCAGAAATGTGTAAGAGCCGTGGCATGCGAGACATCTCTGTGGGAGCAGAGAGAGACGTGTGGCATAAGGAAAACAGCATGAGTTTTAGAGGCGGAATGGTCTGGGTTCAAGACTCAGTTTCTTCATCTGTAAGTGGGGATAATAGCCATTGCAGGCGGCTGCTGCGGGGATTAAATGAGATCATGTGCATGAAGTGGCTGACCTCCCCAGGTGACCTTCCCAGGGCACCCGTAAGTGGTAACGGCGATGATTACTATTATTAACATGGGAGGGTGCATCCTTCCTCTTAGGAGGGACCCCTGCTCCCTCCAGTGAGGCAGGGTCCCCGCCCCATCCTCTCGGGGGTCTGGAAGGGTCTGGCTTCCTGGGTTGCCCGGCAGGTCCTTTGGGAGCAATGAGTGAGGAGCATCACCCTCACTCAAGCCAGAGCTGCAGCCTGGCTTCAGAGAGAGAGCCGTGGTGTGGGGAGCCTACCCGGGCCACCCCCAGACCACTTGCAAAGTGAGGGCCACCATCTTCAAGGATGATTGAACCAGAGGAGGGAAGCCCCTTGCAAGAGGGGGTGATGCGAGATCTTGTCTCGGTGCCAACAGGCCAGAGTCAGCTCTGAGACATCTTCCCAGGCTGCTTCCAGTGGCTCTGAGTTCCCGTGGGGAGTCTTCAGGTAGAAGCTTCTCACATGCTCCTCCTGCGCCTGCGAACCCAGCCCTGCCTGCTGCCCTCGTTCCTCTCTGGGGCCTTCTCCCTGCCCACCAGGCCCACCCTACACCTGCCCTGGCCCTTCTCCCTTCCCAGCCTCCACATTTGGGTTCGTGGAGTCTCATCGCTGTTTCCTCTCAGCCTCTCTCCTGCTCCACCCCCTGAGGCCTTATCTCACACCTGGACTATTGCATTAGGCTTTGAACCCATCCCGATACCCCTCCCGGCCCCAGCCTACACCCCAAGCCCAGGATCTTAGCATCCCATTTCCAGCAGGATCAAGCCCAAACTCCTTGTTTTGGTAGGTTTGTCCTTATCTGGCTTCTCCTCCTTCACCATCTAGCACCCCCCAAACAGCTTGGCTCTGTTTTACCTCTGGGGCTCGTCCATACTTTCCTCCTCAGGGAAACTGAGACTTCCTGGCTCATTCTGTCTCTTCGACATGCCAGTCCTTCAAGCCCACAGAGGCCTTCCTCCCTTCCTCCTCCTCCTCTCTCCCCTCCCTGTCCTCCTCTCCCTGCCGCCTCCTCTTCTGTGAAACCTTCCCGACCGCCTCAGCCCTGGGCCCTCTGTCTGCTTGTTTTCTCTGTTTGCACCTCTCCAGCTGCACAGGATTTGGTTGCTCCTGACTGTCATTTCCAGGGAGGGAAGGAAGGGAAGGAGGTGATGTTGGTAGAAATCCCTCGGGGATGGGGGGGAGTGGGGGGTGGTGGGGGTGGGGGGAGGGTGGCAGGCTTCCCACAGAGGGATCTAGTGCTAGGGGCAGTCCAGCTTTCCCTGACAACAGAGAAGTCACCCCCTTGCATCACTGGATACAAAATCTGCTCCTTCCCCCACACACTCTGCCCATTTCATTCCAGAAATAAGGTTGAAGAGGAAAAGGCTGTGGGGCTCCCCACTCCCGAGGCTGCACACACAGAGAAGGCAGCCACCAGCCAGATTCAGAGACTTTTGTCCAGAAGGGAACTTAGGACTGAGATGCTTCTCCTTTTATTTTGTGGTGCAGAAACTGAGTCTTAGGAAGAGCCGTTGTGGGGGGCCTGGACCAGCTCAGGGGCTCCTACTGGGAAGAGCCCAACATCTTCTAGGGTGTCCCTGCTTGGCCACCCTGGCTGTGAGTGGGGGTCCTGGGTCCAGTTTCCCTCTCCAGGATTCTGCTGTGGCCTCTGCCTCCCCTCCCGCTCTTAGGTTTCCCAGACAGTGATGGGCAGAGAGGAAAACCTGCAGCCCTGATGGTGCCCACCTCCTGGTGAGGAGTGCCCAGGTCTTACTTCCTAATTCCCAGTCCGGGAGTTGAGGTGGGGTGGGGCTTAGGAGGGGAGGTTACTTCATCCTCAGCCAGTCCTTCAGGCCTGGGAGGAGGAGAGGGGGATGGGAGCGCAGAAGAGGGTGAGGCCAGGTGGGGAGGCACCACCTCTAGATGGGCTCCCCAGGTTAAGGGGCTCCCAGGGCCCTTGAGGGGAGGGCAGGTGAAAGAGGGAGCTGGGAAGGGAGAGGGGCGCTGGGAATGTGAGGACTTGATCCTTATTCAAACAAACATGCGGCCCTGGCCCTGCCGAGTGATGTCAGCAGCACTGAGAAAAGTCAGGGCATGTGTGTGGCCGGGCCTCCCATCCCGCAGCGTCAGCCGCTCCCAGCCCCCATGCAGCGGGGACAAATAGCAGGTGCCATGTGACAATACTGAGGAACAAAAGGGTGTCCCCCTCCCCCTCCCCCATGGTGGAGGGAAGGAGGGGTGGGTCCTGAAGAACCAGAGGGGGGGCTGTGGGGCTGAAGGGACATATAGGGTCAGAGAGTGGAACAGAGGGGAGGAAGGGGGGTTGAGGGGCAATTCCTTGGGCTTGATAGGTGAAATGCGAAGCAAATCTGGGGTATCCAGGGTTCATACAGAGCTCAGGAGCTGCAGGCGGGGCCAAAGGGGGAAGAAACTGTGGGGAAGGCACAAGCTAGAACGGTCCCCTTTTGGGCTTCTCTGGGACCCCTCAACAGAAGCCCAACTCCCCTCACAGTGGGGACACCCACTGGGATCTGACTAGGTCTTTCTGGGCATGTTTCCGACCAGGTCTGTCTGCACCATCAGATACCGAGGGCAGAGACGGGTTGGACAGAGTGCCTGGAGAATGCACAGCAAAGCCTGGAATGGTGCCTGGCTGCGGTGAGTGTGCCGCGAATTCGTGTTACTAGTTACTGTGATTACCTTGTCGGGTTCTCTTTCCTGCTCTGCAACCTCAGGCGGTCCTCTGCTTTCTTGGCCTTCTTCTCCCATGGGCCCATTCGGCTGCCCCCTTCCCCATGCCCTGTCCCTCCAAAAGTCCCAGAATGGGTGAGAAGACAATCAGGAAAGTCTTTTCAGAAGGGGGCAGGACATCTGGAGAGCAGGGAGGTGAGAAACCCAGCTGTGGGGTTCGGTTAGGTCTTGAGGTGGTCCTGTTATTGTGGCCAGACTGACTTCCTCCTCGCCCATGTGTGTGCTGGGGTAGGGGGAACTGCACACATGTGCCAGGCACGGGAGCCGCTCCGGCCTGGCCAACCCACCCTGGCATTCTTATCACTAGACCCAGCAGGCCATGGCTGAGTTCTGGGGAGAGGAGAGGTCACTTGGAGGTGTCCCCTTTGCTCTAAGTGCTGGTTCCTCCTGCTTCATGGGTGTGGTGCTGGGGGAGCCACAGTGGCTTCTTAGTGTCTGGCATGGGTGCTGGTGAAGCAGGGGGTAGGATAGGAGAGTGGGGTCTCAGCTGGGGACTGTGTCCCTGGCAGGAAGAATGAGGTGCAAGTCTCTAGGACTTTTTATCAATACTCTTAAATTTCTATTGTCCTCATGTTTCTTAGACCAATTTCCTACCCTCTCTTCACCACAGCTGAATTTCTAATGTGGGGGGTGGGGGAGCATAAGATGCCCCTAATTGCCTTCCTATTCTCTAGCTGTCTAGGGATTGGTACCCCTGTGGGCAGAGTCTGCTACCCCGCCCCCCCTCTTATCTCCAGGCCCACTCTCCTCTCCTGCTCGCTTTCCTTGCTGGGGACAGGGGACATGTGGGCCTCAGGAAATAAGCTCCAACAGAAGGGACTGAGGTGAGACTTTGACAAGAAAGTGCTTTCCAGGAGCGAGACCTGACCAAGGTCATGGATCACTGAAATGGGCGGGTAAGGTCAGACTCCAGGAAGCGTGCGGGAGACAAGGGCTGTCCACTGGGAAGCAGCCGGGTGGACAAGGAGACCAGTGAAGGGCCTGGCTGCTCTGGTCCAAGGAACCAGATTTGGTCTGGCCCTGACCTGGTCACTGCTTCCTCAGGATGGCCCCTGTAGGCAGACTCCAGCCGTTTGGTTCAGTTTGACACACTTCACTAATTTGTGCCAACCCCTGGGAATTCTCTGGACAAACAGATAAAAGAGTCCATGCCTGCCATGAGGATTTGATACAAATGGGCATTCAGAACATCTGACTGGGCTCTGGGAGGCACCTGGGAGGCCTTCCTGGTGGAGGATGAGGCAGGAATGCTGGTCTCCAAGCTGGCCAAGGAAGGTTGCCAGGTTCTGAATGCCAGGGCTGAGATGAGGGTGTGGGGCGAGGTGGGGCTCTGAAAGAGGGTGTCTGTGTGAATGAGGTCATCCGGGGGGAGCCCTCTCTTGGTCTTTGCTACTTGGGGGGCTATGCCCATCTGAGGGGCACTCCCTTAAAGCTGACTTTCCTCCTGATATTCAAACTCAGGGAGACCAAGTGGAGGTGGGAGTTTACGCTAGAATAAAGAAAGGTTTGCTTGTCCTTGGCTGGGGACCCTGATTTCGAGGAGTGAAGGCACTGAGGGTGCCTTGAGATCCCTCAGAGTCTCAGGACAGGGCCTCAGAGGCCAGAAATCAGTGGTGCTGGCCTGATCCTCCTGAGCTGGAGTGTTCACCTGAGCGCTGAAGCCTTGGCTCCTGCCTGCCTGACGGGAGCTGTTCCCCATGCCCTCCCCTCTCCTTGGTCCCCTCCTTCCAGCCCTTTCATCTTCTCAGGATTCCTGGAGACAGACACATCCCCTGATGGCATGTGGGTCCCTGAGTTGGAGGAGAAGTGGAAGAGCACCTCTGGGGGTCAGCAGGGGGCCAGCCCACAGAGCAGGGCGGAGAGATATGCACGGAGAGATATGCACGCAGAGCTTTTGCTTCCAAAGACTTGAAAAGAAAGGGGCGAGGCACAGCCAGCGGCTTCAGAGGTTGCATGGTGAGGAGGGCACAGCTGGTCGCTCTTCCCTTTGGAAAGGAAGGAGCTGGGCGGGTGCCCCTCACTCTGTTTTGGGGTCTGACAGACCCTCTGCCAAAGCTTCCATCTGACAAGCTCCCTTCACCTTCCAGCCAATGTTCTTATAGGGCAGGGTAGACCCAGTGGGCCCCTCTGAGGGGCAACACTGGGGGGCTGCTCCCAGACCAGGGGCCACAGCGTCATGCCCACTGAGCTCAGGTTGGCACACGGCCCATCCCCTGCTTAGTGGCTCCTGCCATCCCTCCTCTCAGCGCCCCTGGTGGGGACCCTTTCTGAGGGGTGACTCCGCCCAGGGTGGGCTGGGTGGGGCTTACCGGTGGGTGAGGGGAGCCGCTGCGCAGGCTGCAGGTGTGTCTGAGGAGCGGGCAGCCGAAAGGTGTTCCAGAGGTGTGCGAAAGGGCTCTGCTCAAATAATCCAGGGAGGCGTTTATAAATAACTTTACCTCAGGGCCACGGGTGAGCCCCGGCTTCTGATTGGCTCAGAGGGGAAGTGGTTTTGAACACTACACCGTAGCTAAGCCTGAGGAGATAGGAAAAGGAGATAAGGGGAAAAAGGTCCCAAATGAACAGCCCTTTTTTTGTTTTACCTGAGGAGCAGGGCTGTTTGATGGGAGCTTGGCACTTCCTAAATCCACCCTGAAGACAATAGGTCACATTCAGCGCTCCCCTGCCCCACAGGCTCCCCCAAGGCGGCCAGCCGAGCTTGAGGAGGGGGACTCGGCAGACCCCTCTCCAAGCTTGTTGTCCTGCTGCTTTGGGACTGGGGTCAGGCCAAATAGCCTCTTGGACAATGGGACCCATTGAGACCACCACGGGGTGGGGTCCTGGGGCTGCTAGCTTTGAAGGTTGGAGAGCTGGGGGTGGGGTGGAGGCAGGAGACCTCTGAACACCCTTGAGGAGGGGATGAGCCAAGTCTGGGAGGCCATGAGAGCACCTGGGAGGTTTGGGGCTGCAGTGGAGACAAGGGTCCCAATTCTGTCGCTGACCTGAAGCCACCTGGAAGTGCTGGACTTTGGTCTGTCACCAGTACAGTGGGCGAAGTAGCCCTAGCTCTCTCAATGTCCCAGGTAGGTATGGGAGGGATGGTGGCTTGGGCTTGGGGTCTGGCAAATATATATATACACACGACAATATGAGGGGTCACTTGAAGCCTCATAACTCTGCTTCAATAGGCCTCTGTCACTTCAGGAATTGGTATCCCCCGGGGTCATGGCTCAGGCTGCAGCCTGCCCCCTGAGTTAGGGCTGCCTCCAAGCCATGCGCTGGAGTGCTGTGGGAGAGCCGCAGGAAGGGTAGGTGGATGAGTTGGGGGAGTTTCTCCACACGTCCCCTGGGAGGCTTCCTGGCCCAGGTGTCCCTGCCTTGGTGCCCCTTGGCAGCCCTGTCCTTATCCTGAAGCATCCTCCCATCTCTCCAGAAGAAAATACGCTCTGAGTGAGCTTGGAGCCAGCACAGGGGGCTTCAGCAAGGTACCCCCGGAAGTGAGGGTACAAATCCCCGGGGGCAGGCGAAGTGAGCTAGCTTCAGCACATAATAGGGACTCAATAAATATTTGTCAAATGAAAGAATGAATTGTCCACAAGCCCAGCCCGAGGGAGAGTTTGTCGATGCATTGCTGTGGGGACTGGGGCAACACCCGAGGTCACTCAGAGTTGTCAGGGTGTAGCCAGGGGCCTGAATGCAACCAAGAAAGATCTGCTGAAGCCACCCAGGCTTGCCCTGCCTCCTACGGAGGAGGGATGTGTGCGCAGATGCCTCCTCCAGGAGACCCTCCCTTGCGCCTCTGCCCAGGCTTAGCTGCCGGTTCACATAGCTGGGCCCTGCCTGTTTCTTTCGCTTTTGTATTGTGACCTCCTAGCCCAGTGCCTGGCACATCATAGGAGCTCGACAGAGATTTGTGGATGGGTGAATCTGTAAACAAAGCAGAGCCTGAGGGCGGGAGTGAGCCTGAGGGCGGGAGTTTGTCCATCGTCTCCAGTGTTGTCTTGTCCATTGGTGTGGGGAGCCTGACCTGTTCTAAGCTCTGGACAGGGAATTCCTAGAAAGCAGATGAATCACCAGGCTCTTCCCATAGCCAGGTGGCACCGACCATCAAGAGCAAACCACTGAGTCCCTTGCTGGGGTGGCAGCTGCCAGGGGGCTTCTGGGGGTAATTGGGTTTCTTTAGAGCACAGAATGCATAGTCCAACTGACTAGGTGTCCCATACTGCCTGTTGGTACATTCTTTTCTTTTAAATGACCCACAGACATTCTGATCTGTCAGTTGCTCTAGCTGAGCTTTGTTAACGTGAGTTGGTCAACCCTGAGTCTGACCAGCTTTCAGACACACTTGGTTTTTCAACAGGTTATCCGATTTGTTTCTCCTAGCAACCGTGTGACACGGGCGTGCGGCTCTTACTTTTCAGATAAGGAGACTGAGGTTGACTGAAGTAAAACAACGTGTCCAAGGTCACAGAGACCTGGATAGAAGAGGCAGGAATCTAACATGGAATATTATGGCTTCAAATGCTATCTCTGGGGCCTCCCCGGTGGCGCAGCGGTTGAGCGCTGGGTTGCGAAGCTGCCCGCGGCCTCTGTGGCGCCAGTTCGATCCCCGGCTGCTCCCCGGCCACCAGAGGAGGGTCCCACATGGCGCGCAGACCTGTCCTGTTGCCCGCTGCTCCCCTCAGCAGTGTACTTCGGTCCTTCTGCCTGCTCTGCTCCCCGCTCTGGCTCTGGTGAATTCTCTCACCCTCCCGCGCTTCTGACTGTACCCAGTGCTTGTATAAACAAAACAAACAAACAAACAAACAAAGAAATAAAACATGCCTCTACATAAAAAAAAAAAAAATGCTATCTCTGAACCCACGAAGCTAAGACTGAGACCCTATATGAGATCCCACCTTTTAAATACATCCAGACTCCCTTTCGGGTGTGTCTCTCAAGGTATTGTGGATGACAACGGCCAGGGCCTTCAGAACACAGCCTGGGCCTGGGAGCTCACTGACTCTCCCAGGCTCTTTCCCCCCTCTCGGCAGCACTGGCAGGCCCATCGTGTATAACAAGGACAGAAAGGCTAGAGGAGCCCTGAGCGCCTCTGCAGTCACCAAGGGAGACGGACAGGGGTCTCAGAACCAGGGGATGTGTGTGGGATGCCTGGAAAGACCCCGGGTTGCAGAAGCTGGGGAGAGGGATAGAGAGGCCCCAATAACCAGAAGCTCATCTTATGGCATCTTGGACAGACCACACTGTGGGGCAGAGTTAGGACAGGTGGAGGGAAAAACAAAGATATGGAGAGACAGGCAGATGAAGAACTGGAACACAGAGAAAAAGAGACTCAAGCAGAGGAGCGAAGACCACGCTAACCTCCAGCAGTCCCCAGTCTTGTGGAAGCGGGAAGCTTCACCCCCTCTCTCTGGAGCAGTGTGTGTTCTCCTTCGGTCGGGGCATGCTCCTCCTCCCCACTCCTAGTGCTGTAATTATTCGCTCATTGCTCATTCATTTGTTCATTCACTTGTTTATTTAAAAACTCTATTGGAGTGCAAGGATGCCATCCTGGGGACACAGACAGGACACAGTCTCTGCCTGCAGTAAGACTGTGAGAGTTGAGGAGACCCTTGTCCTGCAGAAGCACAGGTGCTGTGGGAGGGCAGTGGGGGAGGTGCTCAGCCCTTGATGGGGGAGCTCAGTCAGGGAAGATTCCCCCAGGAGGGGGCAGGCGCTGGCCAGGGTGGAATCTGGAGGCCTGAGCTCTAAGCCCCAGGGTGGCCACTTCCAGGAGGAGTAGAGTGGGGGCCGCCCCTGGAAGTGCTCCTTAGAAGGGGCTTCCTGCTTGTCCCTAAGCCCCGTGACTTCCAAATCCATCCAAGGGCCTCTGCTTTAAAACCCCAAACCACCCCAGTGTCCCCACTGACCCAGACCTTGGTCCTCCAACTCTACAGCTTTAGCTTCAACACCTCACCTCTCTCTCTCTCTCTCTCTCTCTCTCTCTTTCTCTTCCACTCTCTCTTTCCCTCTCATCCTCTCCCCCTACTTCTTTCCCTCCCTCTCTCACACCAACTAGATTTTGGGGACTTACTGAGTTATGCACATAAAGTCAAACTATTTGCAAGTACCCTCCTAACATACCTCGCCATTGAGCTGATCCAGCTTTTTTCCAGATGAGAAACTTACACTAGACACTTAAGAAGAAGATGAATTCTGGGCCTCCCTGGTGGCGCAAAAGGTTAAGTCTCTGCACTATGAAGCTGTCCACAGCCACTGCAGCATGAGTTCAATCCCCGGCCAGGGAGCTACCCACATGGCACAGCAGACCTCTCCTGTCTCCCCACTGCTCCCCTCAGCAGTGTATTTCAGTCAGTCTGCCTGTTCTGCTCCCCACTCTGTTTCTGGTGAATCCTCTCACCACCCACAACTCTGGCCTACACTCCAGCTCTTGTATGCATAAATAAATCTTAAAAAAAAAGAAGATGAATTCCGCCCCTCTGTCCATCCTGGGGTTTCTGGCCTTACCTGCACCTGCTTGTGCCATGCACGTATGCCCTGTGCAGGGCCAGCACCCAGGGTGTGGGCAGGACCGTGTTTTGGGCAGAACAGCCCAGTGACTTGAGCAAAGACCTCAAGACTGAAGACTCAGCAGGCTTCTCGTCTCTGCCTGGCAGCAGTGGGGCAGGGAGGACTTGCCCACCCACGACAGTCGGTTTCATGGGCTCTGGGACTGAGAGACCCTGGAGACACTGGTCCCCCCTTCTCTGTGCAGGGAAGCCAGTGAAAGCACTGTGGCTGTGAGCATCATGTCAGTCGGGAGATGGGTGGGCAGGGTGAGCAGGGTGATGCCAAATCAGGGAGCCTGGTCTTACCATGTGCCCGACATGTGGACGCAGACCTGTGAGAGCCAGTCCAGGGAGGTCAAGGCAGGAAGAACAGAGGGGGCTCCCCAGAATACATAACAGCAGAAACGGGGACAGTATATTGGGAAGAACCTTGGGATGGACGATAAAGAGTACCAGGACCTGTCTGAGGGGGTCTGATGGGAGTGGGGCAAGACCCCCAAGCCTCTGGGGCCAGAGGAAAGAGAGCAGCACAGGACCCCTGGGCGGGAGGAGTGGGGGTGCTCAGGGCTCCTTGTGACCCCTCCCTCATTTTACAGATGAGAGACCTGTGGCTGGGGACCTGCCAAGGTCATCCAGAGAGGCACTGGCAGTTCAGTTTGGTGGTCACCCTGGGGCCCCAACCCCTCTCTCCAGTTTGGTCTAAAGCATAGACCAAGCTCCCTCCATAAAGGGGGTAGGTTACTTGAGGTCCCGCTTACCCCCCATTCTCAGTATGGCTCAGTTGCTCAGAGGCATGGGGCATTCTCCAATGCAGAGGGGCTGCTGGGTGCCAGCTGCTTTGTTAAGGGAGGCCTGGGGGTAGCAGTCTGCAGTGTGGGGCCTGGTGCCCAGGGGTGCGGCCCTGCAGCTTCTAGGCAGAAAAGATGGTTCTGCTCAGGAGCAGAAACCAGGATGGGTGAGAGTGTCCCGGCAGCTCGCTCTGCCTGGGATGCCGGGCAGGGGACTGGGGTGAGAGGGGCTGAGTTTCAGGCTGTTAGTGGGGACTGATGGGCCTCCTCACTGTAACTCTGGCTTTGGGGCCTTAAGTCAAGCATGTATTTACCTGGGCGTAGGGGCTGTTTATAAGAGTGGGGTGCAGAGGGCCTAGACCCCCAATTCAGGGAAGACTGAGATAGCAGAGAGACAATAATATTGGTCCTCTCGTGTTCAGTGGCCTGGCCCTATCCTCCAGGTCTAGCATGGATGATGAGAGAATTAGGTCTTAGGGTATTGTTTCCTGGGGAAATTCATAGGACATTGACCCTGTTCCCCTATATTCCACATTCTTCAGGAAGAGTTTCAAGCTGAAAGGAGCCTACCCCTCACAACCGGGTCCAGTCCACCCATCTTCCTGGTCACCCCCAGTCACACAGGCCCCCTTCCTGGGGCTGTCGGGGGTATCCTCTGGACTCCACTACTCTGTCTCCCTGACAGCTCTTTGTATTCAGGGACCATGTCACATATACTTGAAAAGCATCAGAATAAAATGGGAAAAACAAAGATTTTGGCTCAAAGCTTGAGCCTTGAGATTGGCTCAAACTCTGGGTTTGCTGGTCGTGTGATCTTAGACAAAGTATCAGCCTCTTGGAGCTTGGGTTTGCTGGTCTGCAGAAAGGGACACATGGCAAAAAGGAGGTGCATTCTTCAGGCAAGTTGCTTTCCTCCAGGTACACACACCAGCCCCACAGGTGCCTGCGTGCCTCGGGCCATTCACTCTCTTCTTGCTGATGCCCCACTGCCCTCAGCCACCTGCCACACCCCAGCCAGGTGACAGCCTTTCTCACCCTGCATAGGGAGTGACCTCTGTCCTCCTGTCCCCCTGTTCCGGGGATGCAGAGTGCTGTGCTCACCCTTCAGGGCTGCCCCAGCAGAGCAAAGCCCCCATGGCATTACTGGGGTCTTAGGCTCTCAGCCCTGACTCCAGGAGGTGCCAAGTGGAGAGGGTGTGAGTGTGTGTGTGTCTGAGTAGTGGGTGTTGAACAAGAGGGATGCTCAGGGCATGTACAGACCCTTCTTCCTGCTCTTTCCCACCCCCGTGCTCCCTGGGCAACCTCTGCCTCTGGGTCTGCAGCTCACTCTGATGGTGCTGGCCATCAGCAGAGTTGGGGTCCTTGCCTTTTAGATGCTGGAGCCTCCCTCCCTCTCCCTGAAGAATAAACCCAACCCTTTATGACCTGATCTGCACTGGGTACAGGCAGCCTTTGCAGGATGAGCTTGCAGCTGGGGCTGCCCTCAGCTCCTGTGGGTGGAGGGAAAAGTTTTTTCCCAGGGGCTGCATTTGGGGGAAAAGTTCACAAATTTATCAGTGCCCCTGCCCAAAGTAAGTCTGCTATTGATGATTTTTATTTCACTTTCCAAGGTCAGGGTATTTAGCAGCTGATTTCCCCTCCTACACCTCATGGCCAACTCCCCCAGGACCTCTTGCAAAGGACTAAGCCTGAGTGGGGACCATGGTCAGGAGCTGGTTTTCTGCACTAGAGAAGGGCCTTGTCCACTTTGCATGGGGCACTGGGACTGAGCTGGGACCTTAGCCTGGGACATGTTCAGGGTTCTCAGCCTGCTTGGCCCTGACCCCCACCCACCCTCTGGGTTTGCGTGGGGTCCCCTGAGAATGCGGGCCCCATGCCAGGGTGCAGGAGGCAATCAGGGACGGGCCTGCCAGGAAGTTTAGCTGGGCCCATTTCCCCGGGTCCTTGCATAGCAGGCGGAAAAGGGTCGAAGAGCCTGGCTGAGTGGCTTGGAGTCAGGCTCAAGAAGCCCATGTCTTGGCTCCAGAGGGCAGGGGACAGGTCGCAGCAGGAGCAGGTTCTGAGGAGTCCTGGGAACGCCCGGGTCGGCTGGGGCTAGTTCCTGTCAGCTCTCCAGGGCCGCTCCAGCCGTGGCAGCTCACAGAGCCGCATTGTTCCTGGAGCCTCTTGAGCTTTTAGCTTGTCTCGTCCTGCTGGTAC